GCAATAGTCTCATGTATGTGTCAACAGAGTTGTTGCGTTTTTTGTCTCTATGTGCTAACAGTTTTGGCAGCACCAAAGCATGTTTCCGTACTGTAGCGTTTCTGCACACAGTTTCTGTTGCCAAGGTCTGCGTAGTCAGAAATTGTTTGCTGGGTACCTTCTCTTTTCTGTGCTACCTGCACTTCTGGAGCAAAATATTGCCTGAAATAGACAAAACCCAGAAATATCTCCAAACGAGTGGTTTAGGTCTCGATCAGTCGGTGATTGCTATTAATACTTTAGCATCTTTTCTCGGCGAAAATAGAGATAGCCTTATCAGCAAGGTATTGGCTGATGTCGAGATAATATGCGAGCAAATGGAAATTCCTATTACAAAGCGCATACGACGAAAGAAAAAAATGGCAGAAGAAAAAGAAGATGATGCTGGTTTATTACCACAGCAAGAGATACGGCGGAAAATGTTAGAATCTGTTGATCGCTTGAAACAAGAAATTACACAGCGTTTTTAACAACTCATGTTGTTAAATGAACGCTTTGGATTTTTAAGCTTAAAAGTATTGTTTGATGGAAGCAACGATAAATATATATGGCAAAAAGTTGATAAGCTACGTAACATTTACGACGACATTGATTCTGATGAACTCAAATTTGAAGTAGAAAGGCTCCGACATCTTGTAAGCAGTTGTCGTTCCAACAGCAAAGAAAAAACAGATATACCAGCAGTTGAATGGTCAGCAGCAACATTTTTCGCATGGATTGTTCAATGGGGTTTCACAGAAATGCTTCCAAATTTGACAGTAGTCCTAAGAATTTTTCTTGCTATGAGCGTGAGTGTTGCCACCTGCGAACGAAGCTTTTCGAAGTTAAAACTAATCAAAACTTACCTTCGTTCAACTATGAGTCAGATGCGATTAAATAGACTTGCGTTGCTCTCAATAGAACGAGATGCGACAAAGAAAGTTGACTTTTCTAATGTTATTAAAGAATTTGCAAGTATCAAAGCCCGCAAAATTAAAATTTAGTTTATTAAAAGTTTTAAGTTTATTAAAGTTTATTTAAGTTTAAAGTTTATTAAAAGTTTTATTTAAAATTTAGGCTTTATTGTTTATTTTTTTATGTAAATTGACTATAAAATTGATTATAAAAAAAGTAAAAGTGTAAAATAAAAAGATGTTGAGTACTAAATCAAGAGAACAGTTTGTTAGTTATTTCAGTGATCATTATCAGAATAATCTAATAAAGAAGGCACGAGGAAGAAAGACCGCCCACTGAATGGCCCTGATACATCATCGATAGGGAATTTTTTTTAACAGTTACAGAGAATCAATATCAATATCAGGAAGAGTATTATATGGTACTACCAGAGAGAAGTCTGAGAGCGGCCATGCCATTGTAGTTTCTTACGACGGTTTCAACCGCTGGTTTTAGCCGTATTTCTACAAAAGTGGAACTCAAAGGCCGTTCTACATTAAACGCAAGTAGCAGATCTCGTGGAATTGACCAATTGCAGAGTCAAATCAGCCAATCGACCAACGTGATTGATCAGTTTCACGAGACCTGCGATTTGAGTTTCATGGAGAACGGCCTTTGAGTTCCACTTTTGTGGAAATACGGCTAAAACCAGCGGTTGAAACCGTCGTAAGAAACTACAATGGCATGGCCGCTCTCAGGCTTCTCTCTGGTACTACTTCCGTAGGCAACTTTCGAAATCTAACTTTGTGCAGTTTTTATCTCTACTAACACGCGATATACGGCCTTCTTTTCACAGTGGGCGTGCCCATCTGTGTTGGGCTCGTGCTCGAGATGTTGTGACTATGATCGCCTTGTGGAAAGGGAATAAATTCGAGATTACACTCGAATTAATTTTTAGAGTCTCGATCATATATGTAATACTTCTATATGGCTAGTTGAGCTCTCAGCGCGGTCCCAACACTACGGTGCAGACAATGCTCTACTCTCTTTATTACTCTTTATCACTGTTCAGTTTGTTCGAAAGCGCATGCGTGACATGTATCCATAATGCTTATATTGGCTGCGTTCCGATATTCACTGCCAGTACTGAAAATCTATAGCACATGTAACGTGAAGTATAACCTCGAAAGTCTTCTAAGATATTGTTTTGAATCTATTTGTGTAGCACGAAAATTACGTACTACACGAGAAAATCAGTGCAAAATGATGAGGTATTGTTATGTCTGTAACAAAAAACAAGCCAAAAATAAAGATCTTTGCTTACATAAGTAAGTTATAAATAAGCGTAAATTTTAATGTATATATTATGTCTCTGAAATGTGGTTATCAGTTTATCTTAAGAATAATATATAACTTTATATATATAAAATAAATGTAAATTGTAATTTGTTTATCAAATTAATATAATTATTTTACATTTATAAAATAAATACATTTCTTTTTTGTACAATATTGGTGTCACTTGTATATTGCATGCTGTATTTTATTTCTTACTTAATTATGTTGCTTTTATTAATATATTACATCACTGATATTTTTTATTATTGTGCCAAAAATTTAAACGTTTTATTTCATCTCTTTTCTATATTGTTTTCACTTTCTTGCACAATATAAATTAATTTTTGTTTTTTAATCGGGCCTTGAACATATTTATCTAATAAAATTTTACGTATAACTTTTTGTAATTAGAAAATAAAACCATTTATAGACACTTTCTATATTTCTTTTCCTTAATAATTACTAACTAGTAGATTCCTTTTATAAATCTGTTTAAATTTTCCCGCAACGCTTGCGCATTACCAATTATTGAACACTCCTTCTACTCTTTCTTGGAGAGCCAATAAGCATCTATCTTCTATCCTTCAGTGTTGGGACAAGTCCCGCTTATGGAAAACTTGCTCAACTAGCCATATAGGAGTATTACATATATGGTCTCGATTCAGTTCGCCGATCAATCGATACATTTGATTAAAAGGGACCGGCCCGGAAAAAATTCTTAGGTGGTAAGCGGATTCGAACTCGAGACCTCTGGATTCACCATATATGTAATACTCCTATATTGCTAGTCGCGTATCTTCGCAATGAGAGGCACGAGGTCCGAGAAAGGGAGACGCACGAAGTCCAAATATGGGCATAGATGGTCGAGCGTCATTATGCGCAGGCGCATCTACCAAGTGAGTGCGAGCGAGACAAAACATTGGAAAGTGAGAGAAAGAACGCGAGAAAGAGAATGGCGCAAGCGTGCTTGAATGTTCACCGCATGCGCACAAAGCAGCTGGAGAGAGAGGCTACTATATTGTCTGCACCGTAACATTTGAGCTTCAGGTCGGCACCGTACTAGCAATATAGAAGTATTATATATATGATCTCTACATTAGAAGCACAAACAAAACAAACGCAACAATACTTTTTTTTAAATGTTTTATTCTAAATCGATTGAGACTAAAACGAAAGTGATCGGTTTAAGGGCCTTTTACAATAAAATATTAGTAATAAATCAGAAGTCAGAAGCAAGAAATTGACTAATCACAATCGATTATTCTTCTGTGATTTGACTGTGATTGGTCAATTTCTTGTTTCTGACTTCTGATTTATTACTAATATCTCATTGTAGAAGGCCCTTTAGTCGTTCTTGAAATATTGCTCCGTAAAAATCTCCCCACTTCTCAATCGCGCTAATTTCGCGTATAACATAATGGTCGCGTTCAGCATATTCCAGCAGTTGCAAAGCGGTTGAGCAAATGATCAGTGAACGCTTAGTGATATAGATCATGCTTGCTGAACGGTCTTGAGCTTCAGATCTGTATAACATGTCACGTGATCCTACACTGTTTTTTAATAAAGCTTAAACATAAGTCTCTCAGTGTGTTTATTCATAATAAACTAAACAATAGAAAACAAAATATTATCAAATTATTAAAAAATTAAGTGTTATAATTTACAATTTGCAATGGACAATTTAAATGTGATTGTTTTATTTGCTATGAATAATGGCAAAAACGACACTATACATTTTGAGGTTTTCAGAACTCATTTTCTCTTACATACAAATCAAAATTACCCGTGTTTACATTTCTCATATGTGTGCCACCATATTCTTTTACAACATGTTACGCTTAGGTAGCAGAGAAAAACTTCGATGGAAAAAATGGCGCTCCCTAAACATGTTGAGTATAGCGGTGACTGAGCAGAGTGCGTTCAGCAGACACTCACCCAACAGTTGTACAACAGTTGTATCTGCTGAACGCGACCAATAACAGGCACGGGTGCGTCGTGCCGTTCGAGCGCGACTTCGTAGCGCATGAACTTGGCGCGAGACACTACCGTGCCTCTTGATTGAAAATTTGATAAGGCTTATAACTCTACATCTTGCAAGGTTATATCCGCAAGAATGGGTGATAATGGCGAATGTATTGGAGTACCAAATAGTTGTTTATAAATGTTATCGAAAGTGAAGAGAATGTCGATGACATCACAAATCTTAACGCTGTTATAAATTCATTAACTTTTGTATAATTCATTAATTTTTGTAATCTGATATGTTTTTATCTTCCTAACACGCTTGTCAAGGATAAATCAATAAGAACATTTGTGAACAATGATATTACATCTAAGGAACATAGTACAACACTATCTTCTACTTTAAGACCGGTTAACATGTTACAGGTGGAAACTATTCTTAATAAAAATTGAAGATTTAGGAATGCTTTTATGTAAAATTTTGTATAAATAATAGGCAAAATTGTGTAGAGAACTATCAAGTATATGTCTACAACATTAATTGCGATACTTGCGATGCTAATTATTGGCCAAACGAAAAGGCAACTGAAAACTAGAGAATTAATGAGCACTTATTCTGTAAAAACCAACCAAATTAAATCAGTAATTTTTGAACATTGTATGAGCCATGGTGGAAGTAATAAGGTGTGCTCATGCGCAAGCATTTTTGTTGGCCAATAAAAGAGCGTGACTGAATTCAGCCATCTTAAGTCATTCAAATGCATATAATTTAAAAAGAAATGAATAATACAGTTGATAAATCAATTTTAAGTATAATTTATTAATTACAATATCATATGTGTTAACTATAAATAAATTATACTAATGAATATGCATACCAATTTGTAGAGTTAACCTATTTCTCACGCTCTTTGTTTATATAGAGTGTATTCATGCATATGCGCACATTATCTTATTGCATGTTACGTGTACTATAGAATTATGGCGGATCTCAGTCACTGCGCAGAACGTGACGAAAATTGTCCGAGAAACGAGCACACCTTATTACTTCCATCATGGTATAAGCACCGGACATTCTTTTAATTGAAATTCAGTAAAGATACTTGACCACGAACTCAATTATTTTAAAAGATTAACTTCTGAAATGTTAAATATTAAATTAAAAAATAATAGCATTAACGTTATGCAAGACACAATTCTGTTGGATAATATATATACTTGCTGATTTTCAGTCGAATTAATAACCAATAAGAGTTCTCTCATATAAATAGAGTTACTATCTTAACTGATTTTAACTTTCTTGACTTGCGTATAATTCCCTCAATATTGACGATAATCCCGTAACGACAACATCGAAATTTTAATCTCAGTGCGGCCTGGAGCCTACCGGACAATTATTTTAACTTAATACATCGTCATACGCACAGAGAAATGTCGATCTTAGAGTAAGTTTTATATTTTTATCACTTGAAGTTTTATTTTCGAAGTTAATTTGTTACATTCATTAGTTTACAAAAACATCTATTGTAATTTGTCTAAACAATTTATGTATTGTCATCACTGAATTTTTGTTTATGTCATGCACTAGATAATTTTTACTGATGAAGACTAAATCAATAAAGTCAAAACGTCTAAAGTACTAATTTGTTGAACAATTACTGTATACCATTCCCCAACTGGTTTGAACAGCTCCATTTAAAACAATTTGTGATTATATATTAAGAACAGTTTATGGTAGATATAATTTTAAAGTTTAACAATAACCACATATGTATTAGAATATTTAGGATTTGTAAGAAAACACACATGAGGTATGAAATTCCTTCACATTATATAGTTTATATTATCGTCATATATTACCATTTCTTGCAAGGTACATAAGTCGTTACGCGCGTTATAAGAGGGAAAAATCATTTTTAATTGAATTTCTCTCCATAAACGCATCGAAACTTGTTATGTAAATGAGATCTGACTCGATGCGATTTATATAATTTTTAATTCACACATGCGGGAAAAAAGAATTTATGCGCGTAAAGATTTCTTATAATATATATATATATATATATATATATATATATATATATATATATATATATATATATATATATAATACAGATAATACCGCAAAGCTACAAGAGACATATGTTAAATAAATAAGAACAAGTATGCCGATATATTTCTCTCGAAGAAACTACTCGATCTCTTGATGTTTATACAAATAAAAACGAATAAGCGGGCTTCTTTCTCTGATTCCTCGAAGATTGCATCGATTATATTAACAATTTTCGCGAAATATTTCTAACAGCCCTTTTATTTCGTTATAATTACTGATGAACTACCCGTTAATAATTTCATTGTGTACACAATATCTTTTCTCAGAAAGCATTCGGTGCGCGTTCTCTTAACACAACACATTAAAGAATAATAATATTAGTACAACAACAACAACAACAATAATATAATAATAATATAATAATATAATTATAATAATAGTAAAAATAATAAATATAGACAAGACGCTATATATAAAGAGATAGTTCCATGCTTTCGATTTCAGTCATGGTTGCGCGTAATGTCACACAATAGTTATTTTTTTCTTCCGCTACTCTCTGACTTCGTGCAGAAATTATAATTTTTCTATGTTGCAAGCATTTGCAAAAGCGTGTAATGCGAGGAAAAAGGTTTTTTTCATATAAGATTTCATATAGAGTTGCGTTTCTCTTTCTTTTTGTTTTTTATATAAATGGCATGCTTGTTGCTGATTCGATATAATCCGAATATTTATAGTCAAATCTTATATAGATCATTTTAAGTTCTCATCTTCAAATGTTCTGTAGTAAAACGGCTCATACAGCATTACATCTTAAGATAAAATTACTACGATCTCAAATATAAAAATATTATGAATGCCGGTCATAGACACGATAAAGAGGTAGAAGAATAGTCTTTAGTTAATGTCAATAAAATAATTAGCGCATATAAGTCAGAATTAGTTTTCTTATTCTTTGTTTTTTGTTAATTGACATAAATTATTATATTTGACCGTAGGAAAAATTTTATGCGTTGTACCTTTTTGAACTATAATGATGTCATGTCTTATACATATATGTCATACTGAGAGTTTATAATTTTGGACGGAAACTAAAAGTCCTTCAATAGCAGCATATCGAATCGATACTTACACAAGTTATGCTCGAAATAAATTTTATTTTCGTTCTTTTATATATATACGTTTTCAACATAACATATATTATTATGCGACCAAAAACAATAGTTTTTTGCCCAATCAATCACTACTCTCTCTCTCTTTCTCTCTGAATTGATACTTCTCCAGATTTATATCATATACATATTCAATATTTCGTCAACTTTCGAACAGCTGTTGTCGGACAGTTCGACATAGCTCTCGTTCGAACAAGTAAACAATTTCTCTATTTCTTTGGTAGCTAAGAACGATTTGTGATATTTTTCAAATAAATATTTTTTTCCTACGTATGCAGCCATATTGCAAAAGGGAGAAGACACTGATAAGAATTGACATTCGTTAAATAAAAAATTTTGTTCAATATTTTGTACCTTTTTCATTTTGCGTTCGTGGGACACGTCGCGGACATACCGCGCGCTATAAAAATCTTTACATATACGGATATAAGTTTGATATCGTGCGGTTGTAATACTGGTATAGTAATCATCAATCATGTCACAAAGAAATAGCAAGAAAAAGCGATAGTCTTTTATTTTAAAAAAATATACTTTTGATGTGCATAGCGTTTCTACTTTTTCTCTTTTTGTATTTTATATTTTATCGATTTTCTGTCAGAAGATTTAACGCGTCTTGCCAATAATTTAGCTGTTCAGTGTTAGATAAGATTTTACGAAGGGCAAACGGTCATTTTATTCATCAACTAAAACTGATAGTAAAATAGTTTTGCTCTTCCGATTTTTGAAGTTTAAACTTTTTACAAAAATGAAACATTGCAAACAAGCAGCTGAAATCGCTCGTTCTTGCTACACGCTTAATTTATTCTCAGTTTACTATGACAAAAGCTGTGTTTTATTGGTGTTTCTTTTGCTTTTTTTACTTAATGTTTCTTTAAAGCACAATCAGTTTTCTTCTCGAGTCTTGTCGTATCCGTCGCAAACTCTCTTTCGTACCGTGTAAAGATTTATTTTGATTGCCTCTTGCGTCCCATGTTGCAGATCTTGAAGTGGCACAGAGACATATCTGAAACTCACAAATTGTATACGTTACTCTGTTTTCCTAATTATTATGAACATCTCCGGCAGATGACATTGTGATATACAATATTACGTGTCATATTTATTGCATTTTCTACACATACATTTTGACACAAACTAAACCTAACGATGTAACATTAAAAGAAGGATATTAAAAAGTGGTCGATTTTTATGCCTTAGTGTGGCAAGTAAAATTCGAGTGATTTTGTATAGATTTTTGGTCGTAGAATCACATAGCGTATTTAGTTTTTTCATAAAGTGAAAATGCATATTTTCCTACTTTTTCTCAATTTTTCCATATTTTCCCTGCATGTTAAGGAAAAACTTTACTTGCCACACCGGAGATAAAAATCGACCACTTTTTAACATCCTTTTTTGTCACTCTTAAAAGTTTTTTCTATATTGTAGTAACACCTGTCAATACAAAATGGTAAACAACTTCCAAAACTAAACTGTGTGCATTATATATATATTGAAATTATTGTTACTTTAAAAGCTATTTGTATATAATTCTGGTAGTTTTCGCCGACGGTTTTTTTTTATCTTTTGTCGAATCAATTACGAGAAACACGCGACCAACATTTAATGCGTCATGCGCCAATTGCTCCAATCAATTGTTGATGATGGTCTTCGATTGTCGAATACGGCGCAGAATGATTATATATAATATAATCACTCTGCGCAAGTGTTTATACCGTCTGCTGTTCAGAAAAAACTTATTTACAAATAGTCAATAATTACAAAACATTTCTTAAACACCAATTTTCCCGAAATATCAAAAGAAATCAATTTTCATGTCTCTCAATAAAGAGAGAAAAGAGCGGGAGTTTTGTTCTCGCGGCGAAAAATAATCTTTTGATCTTTCAAATCTTAGTAACAAGAATTCCGACAAAAATGATAACTTTTTGAAATTTTTTGAATGTTTTTTTCCTTGATGAATAACTGAATCACATTTCAAGTTTCTTTGAGTATTACACTACATAATAATATTCTCGGAATGCTCTCTCGTATATTAATTTCTTTTTACTCTGGCAAACTTCTCTTAAAAAGAGATAAAACCACGATAAAAAAAAGTAGAAGCTATCAAAAAATTTTCTAATTAAGAATGTATTTCTCGTATTTAATTTTTTCTCCGCACAAAAATGATAAATTAGAAATCTGTAAAATCATTTTATATCACCTGATTTATATAAACTAATATTAATTTTAGAAAATATATTTCAAAAAACTTTTTTTTATAAATACTTACAACTCACTCCGTTACTGTTTTGTCGTTTAGTCGGATATGGTTGTTCGGCGTGATTGATTCTAGCCGCGGGCAAGGGTAGTGCTTCCGGCTCTGTTTCTTCGCTGAAGTAGTCGGGCAATTGTTGCTCGGCGATTGCGCGTTCTCTCTCGCGGGCTTTTGCTTCCAGCATCGCTTGGATCTCGATTTGCTCATCGGTGATCTCGTGCGCTTTTTCGGCAATTTGATGCTTTTCCTCGGTCAGATGTTTTAAGCGGTTTACCAGTATCTATATACGTGACAACGGTGAAAAAACTTATATAAATTGGTTATATTTTTTTTATTAAATTGTTGAATACTTGTTGACGACAAGCTAATTGTTAAAAAAAAACGGTTACTCACAAGACTTTCGGCGTCCATCAAATTGTCGTTAAACGAAACAAAGCTCGATGTCAACGGTTCGGGTTCCGCGAGCACGAAAATTTTGTCGCTGCTTGTAACACAGAACAATACGAGTGCCACCAGTAGACACAAGCTTGTCCTAGCGGCGACTTGTTGCTTAACTCTTTCCGTCATTCCCTCGTGATCTCTGAGGAAACAGAAATATAAAACATGTATAATAGCCGAAAAGAAAATAGTAAACAAACGAACGAAAGATCTTCACAAAAGGAAAAAGTATTTCGGGTTAATTAACATTTTATCGATAATTCTGCAATATTTTATTACTTATTATTTATTAATTCTCTGATTTTTCTAAAATAGAATTAAAACAATAACGAAAATTTTTATAAAAGAGTAAAGAAAGATTTTTATTTAATAAATATTTTCTTTCTAATGTTTCATTCCTCTTTGCACTAAAATTTTTGGAAACACAAATACACAGATTGTTGAAACTACTTTCGTAATGATAAAATTAATAAAAAACCTTATAACGAAAATCATAAAAACATAGTAAAATCTAATAACGAGGCGCATAATCCGAAGTTCATGCATTGTAATCGCGGCCGGATTAACTAATGGAGAAGAAAAAAAGTGCGACAATCGTATTATGCGTTATAATCTTTTTCTATTACAAAGATAAAAAAGTTCGTAAGTCATTTTCTACAGAAAAGAAAAAAAAGAACGAGAAACCAGATTTTTATTATGTTTTGGATAATCGCTGTCTGCGTGTTGATTACGCTAGTATCTAATTGATTTTAGACAGACGTCGAGTAAGACAGAGCAAGAAATTTACACAAGATCTATGAGTTCGAAAATTATCGTAGATTATCCTTGCCGGCGATAGCCGTATCGTGTGACGGATGTTCGGCGCGTCACGTGATAATAAAATAAAATCGACTAATGAGACGGGAAATCTGAACTCAATTAACGAGAAGCGAAATCGTCAGATATATGCAAAGCGTCGTATGTCATGTATTAAAATACAATGTAAAAAATAATGGCAGAGAACGATGAATTGTTCAGTGATGATTCTTTTATTCAAAATATCAAATAATCGCATTTATAATTTCAAATAAAATTCAAATCATTTCAAATAAAAGAATCATAAATAATCGTAATAAATAAAATTATTTATAATGCGATTATTTATAGATTTTTTTATCAATTTTTTCTATAGATTTTAAATCGATTTTATCACGCACACATAAATTAATAAATCCGAGATCAGGCGAGACTACAACGCATCGATCTCGCAAACAAAACGATTAGAAGTCAATTTGCTCACACATACGTTTGACGTAGAAAAATCACAGTCGGCTGGAAAAGTTGTTATTAAAGACGAGGAAGAACTATATAATTGGCAATGACTTCAATTTGATTAAATGGAAAAAAGAAAAATTTGTTTTGTTTTTGTTTATTTTAAAATATATGAGATTAATTGAAAAAAAAACATTGATTACAAAAGAATATTCAACACAGTTTTAATATCTTTTTGGTTACATCGCAAGAGATAAATTTCTTTATAGTTGACATTTAACGTCGCGTATTGTGAAATTGTTCGGCGAAATATCAGGATTGCGACGTGTAACTTACTGCTCTTATCTTAGTTGAATATTTCACGCGGCTCGTGCTCTCTATTTCGATGGAACGCGATGGAATGAGCGGCAAAGGGCTGTTGCACCCCCCATTATATCCGCGCGCGAAATCTCCTCTTTCATCCCCCCGCCATCATCCAGACACGCACCTACTCCTACCACCTATAGTAGGTGTCGGAGGTGACACAGTGAGACACACACACACACACACGCGCGCGCGTGTAGAGAGAGAGAGAGAGAGAGAGAAGAGTAGTCTCTTACTTTTTTTCATGAAAACGCGTAACGCCTACCTACATGCGTCGATTCCGGTATTTTAAGACCAGAATTTCTGTAGAGGGAAATCTACAAAAGCAGAAATGATACGAGTCGGATTGATATGTATGATCTTCGATTTACTCGGCGCTAAATACGAATCTTTCGAATTTTTGTTTTGTTTAGCCATCTCAAGACACGCAGATTGCCACGATGACGAGAAAATGATGCAATTGTATTATAAGACTCCCGATAAGAATTCGTAACGTGTAAAAACAAACCGCATCAGCAAACGTATTATTTTCAGCACATTTTCTATATTTCTCGGAAATATTATTATGAAATTTTATTCAGTCGTAACTATGCGCATATCGCATAGTTCGCACAATTATGACGAGATTGTAGATACGCAAAAATAATTTTGTGTATATCTGTTTCTTCTAATTATTTAAACCTTGACACAGTTTTCTAATCGCTTCAAAATTTCTTGAAAAGCATTGCCAACTGGACCAAATAACTTTTCATATGTTAGCGGACTGTACGTAGACGTAAAGAGAGCAAATTTTATCCTCACACAAGCAAGTTTACAACGTGTTTTAAAGTTACACACACCCATACCCACATCCACACACCTACACCTACGCACACACACACACGCATAAATATATATATACATACATATATATAGCATACATATATATATATATACGCATACATATATATAGACTGTGTATTGTCAATATCTTTAATATAAATTGCATATATATTATCGATGAGCGAATGTTTAAAATTAGCTATGGTCCTGTGTCGCGGACCAATAGTGACGCGCGCAGATGAAGATAAGCGACTCTCTTGCGTTATCATGACATAGAGAAGTTAGGAAGACAGTGGAGGGTAAGAAAGAGAGAGAAACGAGAGAGATTATCGAGATTCGGTGAAGATTCTTTCTCTCCCACTGCGCGAAATCCCATGTCTGATAAAATTGTTGTACCTTGCGTAAGTTATCATTAGAATTTCTCAATCTCTCCGATGCGGGTGCGTAGAGATCGAGACTTGACGCATAAAGCACAACAAGATTATCCCACTCGAGTAAAAGAGAAAGAGCAACACAAGGATATCACGTTTAAAGCGTTTCTAGGATGTTAGGAGGATTATTGCTCTCGCGTTTAATTAAGATTTAATGAGAACTAATAAGATAAGAGCATGTAGAATTCTCTCGCGGACAGCTGCGTATATAAACAAACCGCAGCTTCCACAGTCTATGAATCAATATAGAATTTCTCCCTTGAGTTTCGATCTCGACTCCGTAGATGAATCAAATCGCGTATTCGCTTAACTGTGTGTTATTCTGAAACTTCACACAAAAGAATTTCTTGATTAAATTAATTTACCAAGTATCTACTTAATAGAGTGTGGAGCGTTTTTCATATCTAAAACTCGAAAACTTTACTTTTCAGTAAAAACAAAATAAATTATAATGTAAAATTAATGAATTTAGAATTAATTAATTTGAATAAAATTCTTTTTATATTTGTTCATTACAAGTGATAAACGTAAAATAAAACATGTGAGACAAAATAAAAATTAAATTTCTCACATATTACGTATCAATTACTTTTTTCACGTTGTAATTGAAGGATTAATTATATATCAAACCACGTGTACTTAATCGCGTCACGAATCTCGTGTAGGAGTGGAATACTCAATACATCACCCGTTACACGTATGTTATTTCCTCGCGTCGCATATAGCGAGCTTGCGCAACCATATGCTTGCCTTTCCGCCTTCATCATTTAACGAAGAAGCTATGCCGATTTTGTACTGTCAAACTAACGCAAAGCTCAATTACGTCGGAATATATAAACGACCGTATCCGTGAATCCTTCTCCGATTACGCACTTCCAAACGTCTAGAGAAGGCGAGTCAATGCACGAAAGAATAACGGAAAGCGCTATGCCTCGAAACGCTCGCAAAATGTCGCGATATGTTACATATATAGAATTATTTTGCATAAAACAACTAGATTTTATTTACACACAACAGGCCATGTCGAGCGACGTCGAAGAGACACAGCAAGTAGAGAAGCCCTTCGTCGCGGAGCGCGCAAAGACCGGCCGCGCAAAATGTAGGAGATGTAAATGCGCGATTGAAAAGGGCGAGCTGCGAATCGCCAAAATGGTAACTAACTTCTTCACCGACGGCAAACTGATGGCGTCTTGGCACCATGTCAACTGCATGTTCGACGTGTTCGCTAATCAGCGGGCTACGACAAAGAAGATCGACAATCCAGTAGAAGACGTGAAATGTTGGAACGAATTGTGCGACAAAGACCAGATGATCATCCTCAACAAGCTAGGAAAGTGTAAGAAATTCTAGTATCGTCGTAAAGAGAGTGTTATGTCCTCTAACGCAATGTCCTTCGTGCAATTTATTCTTGATACTCTTCGAGTCGCTAAATCCTTGAGTCGATTAAAATCTGCATCTAATTGATATTGTGCTTATTTTCGCATTATCCGTTGAAGCGGAGTTAATCCGCGTTACATGGAAAAATCATTTGACGGATTTTTCCCCGGCTTTCTTTTCAAAACTTTTAATAAGTTTTTTTCTTTTTTTTCTTTCCTTTACGAGTGTAGCTTTATAAAACGGCAACTTTCGAAAGAAGTCGATGTTCGTAAGAGAGAGAAAAAAAGAGAGAGAGATTGACGATAGTGGAAGAAGTTTATCGATATTGGGAAAACGCGTTATAGATATTTATGTCTTGCAATTTTGCCCGATGTAATTAAAATTTGTTCGGTTCACGCAAAAGAAAGTTTCGGTATTTGCAACGTACGCGAGTACGTGTATAAAAAAAGATAACGTGAAAAAAGGACAATTTCATTAAGATTTTGAAATATCTTGCAGACATTTGAGAGATAAAAATTCTAATAAAAAAATTTTTAATTTTATGAAATTTTACGATTGTTTTCTTAAATATAATGTTTGAAAATCTGTTTATTAAGAAGAAGAGTTAGAACTGCTTTTGTGAGCTATGTTATTGTTATTTTTAGCTTCGATTAAAGTTTCGAAAAAAAATACGTCACCAAAAGAGGATCTTTCGAGAGAGTCGTCGAAGAAAAAATCAAATAAAGAATCAAATAAGGGCGCGACAGTTACAACAAACAAGAAAGAAAAAGATAGAAAGAAAGATCGAAAAGTAGCGTCGGAGGATGACACTTTTCGCGAGTTTCAACGTGTTTGCAAGAACGTTGCTGACAACGACGCGTATACCGACAAGACCGCGATTATTAAAAGGATGTTCACTAACGGAGTACATAGAAGTAAGTCTTCTTTTATTGATATATTCATAAAATCACAAATTCAATATATTTTGTAAAAAAGACAGGGAATAATGATAATAGAACAATTGAATGAAACACACACACAAAAAAAACTTGATCATTTTAATTAATTACAAACTAATTTTCCAAGTGTTGTAAAGATTTAGAATTTTAACTTTTATATTTTACTGATCGACTCATTTATCTGCTTTGTTATGTGAAATATTGATTTCAATTGAGAGCCTTACGCTGGATGTTTGTTTATTGTTAGTTTTAAACTTCTCTAGAGCTGAATTTTTTCATTAATTTTGATTTTAATTTAAAGGATTGTATTGTCAAATAATTATATTTTTTAATTAAATTAAGATGGATTTAAGATAATAAGATTAAAGATAATGAGCGTATAAAAACCAGAGACGAGCATCAAGTTGATAAGTACGGCTCGATCGGAGTTTATCTATACAGTTCTTTGATACATTCTGTATAGAGGTTATTATGATAGCTTCCGAGATGAGCGATATTCGGTGACCTCGATAATGAGCCAAAAAAGCTTCATGTAAATTAGCAAATTATCATCGATCGTTTTTTTTCCTGTCGTTTTGTTTCTTTAACTTTAAACGTGTTTTTATCTTTGCAAAATTATAAAAAGAAATTGCATTTCTCATTTTTGTTTTAATTGTTTCGTCTCTTAATACAAAAGAGATGGAATAATAATTCACATTCGAATAGAAAGTGCTTTATTAATCAAAATTCTTACGATTTTTCGCGAGAGTGTAAAAAGACGCGGAGACATTTATTAATTATTCCTTTTGTCATTTCCACGAGCTAATGTTTGCAGTAGATTATCAGATTATACATAAGAAAGTGCAAAACAAAAAACACAATAAGCACATAAGTAAAATATTTGAAGTAATATTAAGTAAACAATATAATGTAATATATAAAGTAAAAAAAAAATAGACAAAAATAAACCAAGAAAAGACAAAAATAGACAAAACAATAACGATTAAAATTAATTCTACAGAAAAACATAATTAACTTGAAATATTTATGATCGCATCAGAGTATCTAATCTTGTTTCTGCAACTAGAATTAGAAATAGTTCAAAATTGATTGTAACTCGATAGAGTATTGTACAACTCGAAACACTTTTATATTTTCGTCTTTCAATGACCAAGAGAAACATACAAATTGCTGGCAGCAATGAGCGGTGCTTTATGACTTATTTTGACCGGAAACGTGAGTTTACAGTTAGTATGTACCATGATCCGATAACAATATCTCCTTTATTTTTGGGCAATCGTCGATTCTTTACGAAATCGTCTACGCGACCCAAAACACGCGATAGCACTCTTTTGTAATCATATTAGTCGTATCCAGTCAAAAGTGATTTGCGAATTTTTGCTTGTTACAATAACTTCTTTGTGAATAGTACACAAAAATTTTAGGATTATTTTACTTATTTTTTATTTTGTAACGTGAAATTATCTAAATTTTCCACTCCATTTTTTAATAAAACAAGATGATATTAAAATTTCCTGTATACCCCTTCAACAACAAAGGAATCATTGTTTTACAACACACAATCGATCTCTCTCAAATCTTATTTTCATTTATCGCGCACAGCGCGTGAAATATGTGTGTTACTGTATTTATTTTATTACTTTGATTTTTATAGAAAGTATATCTTGTGTTTTTTACGACCCTGTTTATATCTACTTGTACTTGTATGATATCATATGAGATTATAGATGCGGCAAACTTGTTGCACAGTGAGACTCCCTACGACTTTACTAGGATTCTGCCCAAAAGAATAACTTTAAGCAAAATATCTATATTTTGCTTCATTCTCACGTGAGACAGAGGAATAAACCAGAATGAGTCACGAGGTCTTGCGTACTTTGCAAAGAAGAAGACAAAGATAAAGAAACAAAATGAGGGCGGATCGAACGGTCAATACAGAAATCGCACAGCATATTACCCAATCCCATCAATGAGGGGGCTATCGATGAACGCGGGCGTTTTCTCTCTTTGCGTAAACACGAAGAGATTCATCTCTCCGGACTTTTGACCGCCCCTTTCCCCTTTTCAACTTACGAAGCTCTCTTTCTCTTGCGTTTGCTTTTATTTCTCATTCTGTTGAGATCTTTGCGCACTATCGTTCTTCCTCGAGCAAAATCATCTTTTCGCGAAGTTTCCCTTCCCTTCTTTTTCCTGTCTATCTGTCTCCCGCTTCTTCGTGCGCGAGCGCTTTTCAGAGGCGAAGGGGCGAGACCCGGAGAGCTGACGGTTAGTAAATATGATACCGGGGTAGAGGGGCAAATCGGATACAAGGAAACCATTAATCATTCAGCACACGCGAGTACGATCAGTTCAGAGAGTCACTAAATGGAAGATTTTTACGAGTTTATCTGTGACTGGCAAGTGAGAGAGATAGGAAGAGAGAGAGAGAGAGAGAGAGAGAGAGAGAGAGAGAGAGAAATAAACATTAAAACTTGGCAAATCTCGCCAAATCTTAAAGTTTTGTGAAAACTATACATACGTATACGGAATGCGGAGTATTTCGGGTTATAGCGCAGTTTATATACAATGCTCCTTCTGCACTACTTTGCGAAATCTCTAGATCTGATTGTCAAGCAGCACGTACAAATTTATAAACAAAAAAAGAACACAAATTTATTCGCAAAGAAAAAAAATGAAAAAAATATTTTTTCTAATAAAAACTTATTTACATCATAAATATTGAGATTAAACATATGTAAAATGAAAACACTTTATTAATAATGAAATTCTGGACAATATCAAAAAAACAACTATCTCTTTTAATCAAAAGTTCTATATATATCTATGGAAAATTTATGAAGAGTCTTAAAATGTTTGAAAGAAAGTATGTACTTTTTGTTTCAATTTCACTTTGTGTTTAGAGAGTCTGATTTTCTCCAAAAATTAATAAACTTCACAAGGAATACTCACTGTCGTTATACTTGCTGTAAAGAGTTGAAGGCGTTCTTTTAAGAGCAATGTCACAGGGAGCGTTGTTTCTCTCAAATTGTTTTCTTCGATCTGTGAACTCGCTACAGCACACACGGCGAAAAAAATAAAGAGCACAAAAAAAGATTGATCGTTTTTATATCTATTCTTATAAAAATCTTCGATTTGCAAGTACTTAAGTCATCACCAAGCCTTCGTTTGTCCGAATAATCTGAATATTTTCGCGTTAGAATCTCTCGGTTTTTTAAAATTTCTTTTCTCTCTTTCTTCTCAATCGCTTTTTCACCTTTTTTCGTATATGCTTCGCGATGCGATTGTTCGGTGCGGTTTTGCGTACTATCGATTGGTAGCCTCGCGACCGGTTTTTCGTGTCTTATAAACTCTCGGATCCCCACCCTCTAAATGAATCCTTCTGGTTAAACTTTGCTTTGCGCGTCAATCGGAACGTTGCGACCGACGAGCCCCTCTTGTGTTAGCCAGCTTGGCTCCAGACTATCTTCTACTCTCTCTCCCTGATTTCCTTTATCTCTCTGTTTCTTCTCTTTGCTTGTTCGTAAGTCCGCAACGCTTTATCAGACGTCCACGGCATCTTCGTTTCCGTTCGTCCGTTCATCAAAGCCTATTCTGAATGATCGCGTTTTTCGCTCTGCGCAATTACGATATCTGTTCACGAGATATTACGATGTTACGATATGCGGCGATATATTACATCACGTTTCTAAACAGGAGAGATGCATGCATCGTAAGATTCTCACTAACGACGAAGATTATTCAGAAATGCTTCACTATAGAACAAATGAAAAAATATTTAAATATTTGAAAGATTACTTTTGAGCAAAAGATATTGAAATTTATTTGTGCATTTTAGTATACAAGGTCATTTTAATATCCATCCCCAAATCTCTTTTTCTATGCCTTTTACAAAAAAATGTTTTGTACAAAAGTTGTTTAACCTCAAGGGAGACACAAGATAGAGATATCAATATGTTTTCAGATGGCGCCACTTTCGAGAAATGTACTAATAATCACTTTTCTTAAATAAAAATTGATTTTTTTTTTAAATGAAAGTTGTAGATCTTATTGAGACAAATCCAATCGTATGTATTTATTTAGAATTTTCCTGATTGTTCTACAATTTTTTAATTTTAGAAATTAGGTTTACTTTGGGAGTTATTCGACATTAGTTTTGTGGTTAATTGATTAAAAAATACATAAAGTTTACAAAGAGACATTTGAACGAGGGTAGAGTAATATAATATATTAAAATAGAATAATATATTAAAAATAGAATAATATATTAAAATGCACTTAGAAAGACTTCACTTTTTTTTAAAAGCATTTCTCTACATGTTTGCGAAACACTATGTTCCAAAATTAAAAAATTGTAGAAACATCAAGAAAATTTTAAAGAAATACATACGGTTAGATTTGTCTTGACAAGATCTACAACTTTTATTAAGAGAAAAAAATCGATTTTTATTTCAGAAAAGTAAATGATCAATGAGTTTAGTGATGATCAGTGAATTTCTCGAAAGTGGTGCCATCTGAAAACATATTGATATATCTATCTCGTGTCCTTTTTGAAGTCAAACAACTTTTGTGCAAGATATTTTTTTTATAAAAGGAAGAAAAGAGATATATATTTGGGTTTGGGCATTAAAATAGCTCATCTTGTATACAATTGCAAAATTTGCATGATACATATTTTTCACCGAAAATTTTATATTTCAGAACGGAAATAAATTAAAAATAATTTTTGTTTGTTTGTTTTTATTAGTTTGACAAGCAAACTCTCACTATTTCGTACCAGATAAAAAAGACGAGAAGTTTTAAACTTAATGCTATATTGCTGTATTTGCTTGAGAGATTAGTGACACACATAGTAATATCAGCTTTTATCACTAGTATAGTTTGCGCCGAGTCCGTGACTCAAGACGAATTTCTCAACAGCAGAAACGTATGGTTTATGAATCATGAACTGAGAGAGAGAGAGAGAGAGAGAGAGAGAGAGAGAGAGAGAGAACAGGAACGATTTACACTTTAGTGTAATACGTAGCGTTACGCGCAACGTGACGCAATATTTGACATAAAAAATAAAATCACGAGCAAGGAGAGACAGTAGAGAAAAAACAAGAAGAGAGGGAAAGTGAAGATCACATTGAACGGTGTATCTTTTCAAAATACCTCGCGATGATAGTGATAAGCGAAATAATGATGGTGTCAAATTGTGATGATGACGCAACGCGGCGCCTACGCCGCCGATTGTAATCGTTGCTTTCGATCGCGACATGTCGCGACGTATCTCTGGTCGAGATTCAAAATGAAATAAACGACCAAGGGATGTCGTTGAGAGTCGCCGCCACGATTCGGTATTCGGATGGAGTATCCCTCAGTCTTTCTATTCTTAGACATTATTATTTATACGAATCACGTGCTTGATCATTTCGTTTCGATTGTAGACGTACCGAAGTGTAAACGAGAAAGAGAGAGAATCGTAGAAAAAGAGGATGGTCGTATCTACGCAAAAATTAAGGCGCGTGTTCAAAGGCCTCGTGACGATCTGTCGAATCAACATCGATAGTTTGCGGTAATGGAGCTCCGACTGCGTCGTCGTCGCGGCACGTGTTGCGGTAAAAGCCGCATACTTTACCCGAAATCTCCCGCTCTATTTTTGCCGATGATAAACTCCGTGAGAAATTTTGAACGCAGCTTTGCGTGCGAAGCATTTACATCGATCTCATTTGTTTTTACACAAAAAATAAACGAGAAGATAATATTTCTTTGTGACGCGAATATTTCGTCGCACAGAGACAAAACCGGAGAAAAAAAAGATAAAAGTCAAATAAACATTTCTACGTTAAGAATTTATATGAATACATTTATATGAATACAATTTATATGAATACATTTTAGAACGCTTTTGAGAAAGTACATATTATCATAAAACTTCTAAATGCCGTTGTTTTACTTGGAAACGTATGTAATTTATTGCAGCGCGATTGTTTCCGTCGAAAAAATTCTCGTGTTTATTTTTCTAGTAATATTTCAAAATAATTCGATGGAAGGCCGAAGCAATTTTGATTATTGCCGCGAATATATTACTTGTTAAGATAATATATTGTTTGAAAAAGATAATTAAAAAAAAGAAAACGCACAACTTAGCGAAATAATTATCTCATGCAGAAATAAGTATTAAACAAATATCGAGATAAAAGTGAATGTTGATATACGTGTATGTGTGTTAGGCGCAAACAAGAGAACTGAAAAATTAAAATTTTTTATTAATTTTTGGTAGCAAATATACATTTTGATTATATAAGTTTTACTTAAGTTCTTTCGCGAGTGACAATTATTTAAAATGTTTTTTCTTTATTATGTTATATTTAAAAGTATTGTAGCTTGAGACGAAAGGTGGAAATATTGAACATTAAGAAACTTAAAACACCAAAAGATAAAAGTCAAATAAACATTTCTACGTTAAGAATTTATATAAATACATTTATATGAATACAATTTTTTCGCAATATTTTAAAAATTAGTTAGGGGGGTAGATGAGATCTCTCATATATGTGATGCAAATCCAGCATCCGATATGAATTTAAGAATTGAAATTCGATTCAAAAAACTCGCGTGTAAAAATTTACACGCGAACAAATATATATATGTATATGTATATATATACGCATTTTTCCGCACATCCTGCAATTGGCTCATATAACCGTAAATATATTTCGTAGTTTAGTAACTTCTCGAGCTTTAAGAAGATTTAATTGTTAAAACACCAAATATAAAAATCTGAAAGAAAGATTAATCAAATAATAATGTGGAAGAAAAAATCGTTTGTGTTAATCGTTAGTTTTCTGTAGATGGTTTTAAGGGTGACATCGTGCTTTGGTGCAAGCTTCTGTTGCCAGGAGTTGTAAAGCGGGTGTACAATCTACAGAGCAAGCAACTGATAAAGTTGTTCGCACGATTGTTGCTTCAGGATGAGGATGCGATGTTACAACATTTGGAGCAAGGCGATGTGGCTGAGACAATTAGTGTTTTTTTTGAGAAGAGTGTTGCTGTGTTGCCTTGCACTACAAGCGTTCTAACGATTCAAGACGTAAGTGCGTGTAAAACTTGCGAAAAGATTCAAAATGATCGCGATTTCACAATCACGATTAAAAAATCTAATAATTTATAAAAATTTATTCGCGGACAGGTTGATCTATTTTTGGAACAGTTATCGCGTTTGACAAAAGAAACGGAGCAAATCAAACACTTCCAGTCCATTATCAATAAGTATGATTTGGTAGTACGCTTTTCTTTAATGTTCTAGCTGCGACAAGCACAGGAAAACTTTAAAATATATTTATCAAAATACGAATGCTCCGTACGATTACACATCCATTTTTCAAATCCAATTGGCATATAAAATAACGATAATTATTTTGCAATAGTGTAAAGATTTAATATACTCAAAGAAGTCTCTTGAAATTTATTTTATTTAGTTTGTTTTATTTAGTTTTTATTTTAATGTTTTTTTTCTAATTTTATGTTTTTTATTTTGCACAAGCTGTATCTGTTTATTATTCATTTATGTGCGCGGTTGCAGCTAAAACATTTAATTTTGGTTTGCTTGTTTTGATTTTGAAATACTTTTGAATGTATTCCGATAATGTTTTAGATGCACCTCTAACGATCTCAAGACGATCATACGTCTGATTAAGCACGATCTGCGAATCAACGCCGGTTCGAAGCACATGTGAGTGTTTGCTTCTTCCTGTCGATCTTACATATTCGACTACAGTAATGCATGCATTTATAATAACGTTTGTTTAGTCTCGAGGCGGTCCACGCTGATGCATACAGAGCTTTCCAGATGTCACGGGATCTGGAAAGAGTGTTACAACGTTTCCTGCCAAATTTGGGAAAAGAAAAGCCTCGCGTCTTGGACTCAAGTCGCGATAAAGTGGCCATTGCGCTGATGACACCTGTGCTACCGATGCTAGTATGTACACATACAGAATTGCTGCCGAATTATTTAATCGCTCAACAATAATATACAAGAAAACAAATCAAAAAGTTTAATGAACTTTTATCGTTATCGCACGATTAAATGTGACATACTGTTTACACTTTGATGAAATGTAATCTGCATATACAGACGAAAAATTTAAAAATTAAATTATTTTCTGTGCACATCGGAAAAGATACGAGAGTATAATGTAATAAAGTTCGCGATCCACAAAAGTTACGTCGGTGTTAGAAATGTTTTTGTTTCATAATGTCACATTTGTGTTAACAATTATTTGGCTCTCAAAATATATATAGGTTGCGAAAATTGCAGAATTACTTATGTATAATAATTATTGATAAAATATTAAATATATTTTAGCTAATTATTAAGTGTAGAAGAAAAGTGGTATGAAAAAGAATTTTGAAAGATCTATTTTCATTTATTCGGCAGTTTCTGAACGAATCTCACAGAAGTTTTAGCTTTTTATAGCAACACTAAACACACACACACCCAGTAAGCAAAATGCGCGCAATATGCCAGCAGATTGGCAACAGATATACTAAAAAGTTGCGAGNAAATTGGCATCTGTTATGTCCGCATTAGGCTTACAATCTGCTAGCAAAGCCTGCTCACAGAATCTGATAGCAGATTGTCGGCAGAAACCAAGCAAGATCTGCAGCTTTTAGCGATTCATAAAATGGTGCATTTAAAGGATTTCAATATTATTTTTATATTTTTTTAATGTAAAATAAGTAAACAATTTAAAGCAATATTTTTATTATATAATTCTTACAATGATTTTTTTACATATTATTGCGCGTTTTCAACTTATCTACTAAATTATAATTATGTATAAAAAATTATACATACACTAAAATTATAT